GTGCAGTAGGTATTGAAGCTTGTATATTGGGTGAACTTCATTTTTACTTATATGCATACTTTCAGGTGTCAGTTCTACTTTGAACATTGGCTGGGGAATTTTATTTCTATTTATTATGTTCATTGCCATTTTGACTTCGAAGCCCTTATCGTTAAGTCCATCTATTATCTCATTGATTGGGACTGTTGGTTCGATTCCTTTGATAACCACTTGTAATCCTTTGCTACTTTTACATAAGTTGGTAGGTGTAGTAATTCATTTTTTCATTTTCGAGGTATTTCGCAACTGATCGATAGTTTTGTTCGTCATTGACTTGTATTTTTGTTTCATTTATATTACCCCTTTTTATGTACTTGACATAGAATGTGTTTGCGCCAATTGTATCAGTTATTTTTTTGACCAGTTCAGCACAATTTGCCTGTCGAACATAAATAGGTGGCGGTCTTAATTTTTTGGCCTTGGGTGTTTCGGTGATCTCATCTTCATTTGGGACACTTAGTATCGCAAATCTATTATTTGCTAGTGCCTTATGTGGCACAGTGTTCTCGGTTATTTTAGTTATTTTAGCTGCATTGTTGTTCTTCACATTTTGTGGGCTCAATTTTCTTTTGATTTGCACATAGCGATCGAGCCCAGTCTGAATTAACGCTCCGTTAGCATTTTTTGAAATTATTGGTTGGGAGAGTTGGGGCTTGTCGCAGTGGGTCGACAGTATCGGGCGCTGAGCAATTGCAGTGGTTGTTGTTGTGGTTGTTGTCGTTGATGTGGTCGAAGACACAGTTTTGAGCGAGGGCATTGTACTAGTTGTTGTCGATATTAGCAAATCGCTGGTTAGGCAGTACGAGTCGGGGGATGGGCACTGAGCACTCCATGACCCACTTTGCAATGCAGGGGAGAGAGCGTGCTCTCTCCTCGTTCACTTGCAGTGATGCAGTTTTTGTTGGTACTGCTGCCTTTGGCGAGCGTATAGAGAAGTACGCGTTGTTTTTTGCTTGCGAGAGCCGACGCTCGTCTTGTTGTTGTTGCCGGGCTTGGCTCATTTTGGCTTTGGTTACAGTGCTTGTGCTCTTTACCGAGCTGGTGCTCTTAAACGTTGACATTTGTTCTTTTCTATTATTTCTATTAGTCTTTATTACTCGATTGGATGGTATTCATGGGCAGCACGATCACTAGTACCCATGCCTACCCCGAGCGCTTTTTCGCGAATTTAATTTATGATTAATCGCGATTAATTGATTTAATTGATTTTCACCGCGGAGCGATACAAAAATACGTCTGTAGTCGTTGACGGTTGACGCTTGAACTTCCTTGCTGCTCTTATAAATACTCTGACAGCGTTGTTTCAATCAACGTACGGGGTTCCTATAGGCTTCCTTGGTACACTAAAGGCCTCCAGAAATATAAAGTTAAGAGTTTTTGTTTCTGAATAAATTTCTATATAGTCAATACATCTCTGATGTTGAAAATAGCCTAACGTCTAATTGTAATGTGTTCTGGCGCTTCAAAAATTAAAAAAATCATCGTCATCCCTACAGTCAACTATAACGTCCAAAAATATTGTTGCTAACTCTGGGGCTACTATGTATTGCCACCTTATTTGTATCACTTTTTCTCTGCCTGCTTCTAGCTGGAATAACCAGGAAGTTTTAGATAATAATATTGAGTCCTTTTATATAACTGATGATCTTAAAATTATTTTTACTTCTTCGCTGTCTCAGGGTAAATTTATATCTATATTGACGGAAATCAGCATGGCTTCATGCTTGGTCGATCTACGACCTCGAACCTAGTTACTTTCTCGAAACATTGCATACAAGCCTTTGAGGTCCATTCGCAGATGGACACAGTATATACGGATTTCGCCAAGTCTTTTGACAAGGTTTGTCACTCTGCCTTACAAGCAAAACTTTTGAAGCTGGGCATTCACTCCTCATTTCTAAATTGGATCTCATCGTATTTGGTAAACCAAACCTATCATGTTGAAGTCAGTGGGGCTATTTCTCTTGGCCTTTTGCTTTTTTGTATTTTCATAAATGATATTTGTTCCTGCATTCAGTCTGCCAAATATCTTCTTTATGTGGAACACCTTAATTTATATGCCGGTGAACTCCATAAATGACAGCTATTTGCTACAGTCTGACTTGAACAAAATCAGTATATAGTGTATTCAGAATAAAAAGCCTCTAAATCAAAATAAATGTCATGTTTTTCGCTAAAGTAAATGTATCTTAACCGTTGTCTCAACAAACTTTATTAATAACACTAGTCAACACTAGAATTAGGCTGTTTTTTTTCACATAACTTAAGTAGCTTATCACTGGTTGCATAGAGCTGTGTAGTTCTTAAAAGCTGACAAATGCAGCTAAAAATCGTACCCAGACACTTTGTATCTGCAGCTTACCGCCTGGAAGAAATTAAGCTTTCAAATTCAAATTTCATCATTTTTTTTCGGATTTTTTTTTTCGAAATTTTGACTTTAAAAACTCGGGAAAAGTCGAAAAAAAAAAATAATTCTTGGCCAATATTTTTGGTTTTAGATAGACGCATAAATTGGGCGTCGTTTGAGGTATTGCTCATTAGAATCTATGGATAAACGGTCAAACGGTTACCTGAAATTAATGCTTTTTTTTTACATAACTTAAGTATCTTACATCTGGTTGCATAGAACTTTGCAGTTCTGAAAAGGTGAAAAGGTACTATAAATCATACCCAGACACTTTGTATCTGCATCTTAACGCCTGGAAGATATTAAGCTTTCAAATTTAAATTTCATCATTTTTTTGGCGGTATTTTTCCAAAAATTTGGACTTTAAAAACTCGGGAAAAGTCGAAAGAAAAACATTTCTTGGCATGCATTTTAAGTTTTAGATAGACGCATTAATTAGGCGTCGTTTAAAGTATTGTTCATTCAAATCAATACACATCCACTTTTACCAAAAATCTAATATACCCCTTAACTCTTTTTTGAGTACGGGTATAAAAATCACCACCGTTGCTTGTTGTTGCCCAAGACACATGATTTGTTGTTGCAATCTCGAGATCGCGGATTCGAAGCATTTTTGCCGGCTCTTTGACGCCAAAACTTATCCGGAGTTGCATTCCACTGTGACAACGAACATGATCCAATTCTTGCCTTTTTCCCCGTTCCCATTGTCCGTTGGTCAACGACACAATCAGTGGAAATGACGGATATCAATTGTATCGGCGTAGTTCTCCAAATGACAACGGCAGATCAATCGTGATGAAAGTGAAAGCAAATGATGTCGTTATCGATAACCGCTGGATGAAGTGTTAAGTACTGCAACTCCATCAAATACGTTTGCAAATATGTCAACAAAGAGAGCGACATGGAGGTGTTTGGCATTGCCGGTACAAACACAAACGACGATGTGACGAAATTTCAACTTGGACGTTACGTGAGTTGTAACGAGGCAATTCAGCGGCTGTTTTTATTTCCGATCCATGCACGTCACCCGACTTTCGTGCATCTGGCAGTTCACTTGGAGCGCGGCCAGCGTGTGTACTTTACGGACGCAAATGTAGCGCAAAGAGCATTGACAAATTTATTTTCGACATGCGAAAGCGATCCGTTTGCAAGGACTTTACTCTATTCGGAAATGCCACGCTATTAAACATGGAACGCTGCATCTAAGAAGTTTCAGCGCCGGAAGAGAGGTGACGCGGTTGCTGGCTTCGCTGATGTCTATTCGACTGATGCCCTCGGATGAATATACACAGTTCATCCCCGCCAAGACGAATGCTTGCTTCGCTTGCTTTTGGTGAATATTAGAGGCCTTACATCATTTGCTTCCTTGCGTACTGTGGATGGTGTGCTGTGCTCCACTTTTCGGGATACTTGCCAACGTTTGAATTTTCTCGACAACGATACACATTCGGACTCAACGCTTGCCGATGCAACTGTTTCTGCGCAAGCGAAACAAATTCGTAAATTGTTTGCGATTATCATAGCCACATGTCAGCGTTAAAATGGCAATGGCAAGACAACGTTCGCCGGGTCCGCTAGTATTTTAATAAAATTACACCGAATCGATGTAGCTACATATGTCATCATTTTATTGTTTTTTTAGAAGGAATCTGAAAAAGATACATAGTTACCCAATTTACCCAAAATGAGGAATTTGTGAGCAGTTTGTTAACATAATAAATACATTTTTTTCCCGCTCAATTAAAGCTCTTGAATGAAACCCCTAACAAACATATGGTTTGTGCAACTGTCTGTGACTGGCAAACGTCAACTGTTGACATTATATATTAAACAAATATTAATGAGAAAGGCCAATTGCCGGTTTACTGGGTATATTAGATTTGTGGTAAAAGTGGATGTGTGTAACGCAGAGAAGGAAACGTTTCCGACCCCATAAAGTATATATATTTTTGATCAGCATCAATAGCCGAGTCGATAGATCCATGTATCTGTCCGTCTGTGCGTCTTGTTTGTCGCCTGGATCTCAGAGACTATAAGAGCTAGGGTAACCAAATTTGGTTTGCAGACTCATGTGATATCACATCGTATCGTAGAGAATGCCCATTTCTACCAGATTGAGATGTAGAATATGCATAGTAGATGTAGATGTAGATAACAGATGTAGCAAAAAAATTTAATATGTAAAATTTTTTTTATAATTCTAGAATTCTAAAAAATGATAAGCTCTAAAATGTATATACTGACTGAGTACGGGTATAAGTAGAGTCGCGTCACCAGAAGCGAGTCACACGTTCCTTATCGTTTGTTTTTAAAAGGGGACTTTTATGATGATTTTTAATTTTAGTGGGTATCGGAGTGTGAGTATCGGATCATTTTCAAAAGTCATTGGAGAAGACAGAGATTTGGACGTTTCTAGGCCAAATTCAATGTCAAGGAAAAGTGTCTAATTTTGTTAACTGTTACCAGTTTGCGTTGTAAAGAACTTAAGTTCATAACAAATTAAACAAATATATACATATGTACAAATTTACTGAAGTTTAAATGTTATAGTTACCAGAACTATCGTTTCCGTTTTCTGGGCTTCCACTTGAGTACATTGTAGCTAGTTTACCATCAATAATAAAACGAAACCAACCATTGGAGCCGTTGGAAAGCTCTAGTGCTATTGAATCCGACCAAACATACAAGCAGTCACGTCCCCGGCACAGGCTCCAATCTCGCCAATGATAAGGTTTTCCTTGTAAAATCTCTTTGGCATCTTCCAATGAATCTTCTGTTTATGGAATTTTGAAGAGCATGTAAATATATAAAGTTTATTTAAAATATAATTTTAACTTTTACCTGAAGTTGATTTTTGGGACTCTGCCTTTATAGAAGACACTTGCAATAAAGCTAGGTCCTCTGAGTTACCGCATAATTGTGGAGAGGTGTCTTCAACATCATGCTCCATTAATGTTTGAACTTTTGCAAATACACCTAGTCTGGCAAACTGATTGAGAAATGTATCGTGTGTCTTGCACATTATTTCTTCAATAATATTTAAAACAATTAAATGACCATCGTCGTCATCCTGAAATTTAAACCAAAACTTATGCTTTTCATTTTTTATAAACAGTATTAATGAATAATCTACAGATGAATATTCCGCACATAAGATTCCCGGTACTCGGTATGAGCTATCATATTCAGGCAGGCCGCGGTTTTCCCTTAGTTTTGTTATCGACGTTTCATTTTCTCATGTCCCTGTTAAACACAAAAATTAGTGTTGTCAAGCACACAATTTAGATTTGAATATGATGTATCGATAACCAATTTGGTCTGCGACAACTGTTCGCACGAAATGTTAAGTATTGTCGTGACAAAATATTTCAGAGCAAATTTATATATTTTGAAAAAAAAAATTGTTTTTAAAGAAAGCACAAGCTAAATTGCCTGGTAATGATTTCAATTAAATGTTACTGCAAAAAAAGTCATCTATATATACATACATATTTTTTTTAAATTGGATTTGTTTTTGTAAACGCCGACTACTGTTCATTTCGGTAAAAAAAACGGAAGCAAATCGAAAAGTTTTTGCAAAAGTGAAAACTGAGGCCAAATGATAAATTATTTACTTTTAAATAAAAGCAACACAAAAACAATGAGATATGAAATTAAAAAAAAATATTTTTAGCAGTTTGAAAGATGGTTAATATTTTTTGATGGGCTGCCGCGCAAATATATTTATAAAGAGAAACATTCGAACTATGCTGACTCCAATTTTCGCATACCATATACCTCCAGAGTACCGGGTAAAATCATATAGGAAATATTAAAAAGTGTTTAAAGTTTACCTCGTTGTCTAGGACACTGGCTACTACCTCAATAAGTAAGTTTCCACCATTTTGAGCTACTGTTAATGTAGTATCTTCGCTTTTACTGGTTTCACTCAAACTTTGCAGTACAGATGGATAAGCGTATTGTACAATTTTTTTAATTAGGGCTAAGCTAGCCCGACGAACACTTCCCAACATTGATCCTAAGAAGGTTCGACAAAATATAGGCAAAAGGAGCTTTAAATATATAGGTGCCATTTCAGGATCACCTCGCGGTTCCAAAAATGTATACTTTTTCCCATCTTTGCTCAAAAGCGAGTGATCCGTAGACATCCATTCTCCTGGTGATTGCAATATAGCACTCACTTCGCGGTGACCATCATCCGATCTTTCGAGCGCTTTGTCTAGCGGCGTTTTTCCATCTTCATCACGTAAATCTGGATAAGCTCCATATTTCAGTAAAATCTTTGCAATAGCTGGTCGCCCAAAGCAAGCAGCGTAGTGAAGAGATGAACTCCTTTGACCTTTGTTTACATCTGCGCCTTTTTCACACAAGAATTCAACCATTTCCAAAGTACCAAACGCTGAGGCCCAATTTAAAAGAGTTTGCCCAACGTCGTCCATACAGTTCACATCGATTCCCCCAGTCTCAATAGCTTCCCGCAAAGCCTCAGAGTCCTTTGATCGTATACAATCTATAAGTTGCCGATGTGTACGGTCAGTGTTGGAGTTATTACGTCTGGGTCGTGGAGCTAATTGACCTTGATTGCCATGGTTACTTCCTCGATTCAAGGCTTGACGTCCTTCGAATAGTAGCAGAAGTAAAAGGTCTGCAAATCGCATACAATCGAGTACACATCTTTCATCGCCCTGAAGAGCTCGTTCTATCGAGTCGGATAATTGAGATCGCAAAATGTCATAAGTAATGGAAGGCGATCCGCGGCACAACGTTGATAACAATGAAATTGTCGTCGATATCGATTGAGGAGATATACCTGAATCAGATGCTTTTACTTTACTGCTAGATATTGTTGTAGCTTCTTCCGAGCCATGGTCGTCCGTTGAATCTTGGTTTGGTGTTATAGAAGTTATGCTCAGCGGTTGAAGTCCTGGCGACAGTGATGAATGCACGTTGACATTTCCACCGACACTATTAAGACGTTTTAACAACTCAGAAAGTAAACCATATTCTGCTAGGGGTGCTGGGTCTATCCATTTTCTTGTAAAACGATCCGCTACAGATGCAAAACATTTTAGTGCCCCATCTGACACCATTTGATCTTCGTGCTGCAGCAAAGTACTTAAGCTCTGTACGCAGTTTTGTATGCATGGAGAGTTAGGCTCTACTTTAGTGCAGAGTCTTGAAACAACAGACATAGCAGAGTGCAAGGTGTCCTTATGAACTAGAGAACCGCAATCCCGGATAAATGACAAAACACAGTTAAGGCCACCACCTTCAAAAACAGCTCCTGCTTCTCTAGTGCATATAAGTTCAAGAACTTTGATGCATTGCTCGGCCAAGTCACGTAATGTCCTCGAAGATAAGTCAGCAATCACTAAATGACTGCAAATGGCTTTAATTGCTCCATCAATGGAAACAATTCTTCTGGTGCATTCTGCAGAAACGTCTAAGTAATAAGTAATAGCCCGCGCTGTCACTTCAAGTACATTTTCAGGTGCAAGTTCATCAAGAAAAATCTTGCACAACGCCGGCAAAAATGTTCGGGGAGGACAACTGAAACATCGTAGCATTAATACATACAAATTTATAAATTCAACTATATAGATATGTTAATGTACAATACCTTTCAAAGCAACGGTCTACATTGTCAGACATCAAAAGAAGCATACATAATTGCTCCAGTGCAATTAATTGCATATCTCTCTCATCCCCTTGTCCCATGGACAACCATTCTAATAGCGTTTCGGGATCGACATCGCCCATCTGTAATGTCAACAAGAAAATTTGGATTATTTTGGATTTTAATTATTGTATTTTATTGTAATAAGGACGGAAAACTCAAAGCAATTACATACAAAATATGTATGTACAATGTACATTGTACTTGCGCGTACTATGTGCTACTAGAATAAAATGCTAGTTGATCTTATAGCCCAGTTACAGTGCCTGCTATTAATATCGATTTGCTCTTTACTTTTCAGCATTCCACAAAAGTCGATTTATTACTGCCTGTCCTGTTAAGCGCGAAATTTACTGCTGTTATACCCACGCGTTAGTGCCAGCTCATACAAAAAGGCCTTTGTTATATTTACCAGAGATTTATCGATAGCCAAATCGGTCTGCCACAGCTGTTCGGAGGAATTCACTAATTGTTGTTGCCCTGACCAATTTTTCAGATCTAATTTTGAGGTTGGTTTAACGTGGAACGTGTGAGTCGCTTCTGTGGACGCGACTCGACTCAGTCCGGACGCGTCCTCAGTCAGTATATAAATTTGTGAACTTATGATTTATGTAGAATTTTAAAATATTTTAAATTTTTTGGCTACATTTGTTATCTTCATGTACATATACAATGTCGATTACACATCTGAAATGTAGATTACATATACAATGTAGATTCAATATCTCCGCAAAGGTAGAGCATTGCACAGGGCAGAGTGTGTGCGAGCGAGAAAGAGAATGAGTAGCGTCAGCAGCGCTGGAGGAGGTGGGGGAAGCAGCTGAAAATATATCTCTTTATTCTGGCTAAAATAATGATCCGATCTGATTCAGATTCGGCCATCTGGTAGAAAGGGTCATTCTCTACTATACTGCGTTTGTAGTTGTATTTTATCTCTAAATTGCAACCAAATTTTGTTTCGAGATTCATGTGATATCACACTGTTACAAGTGTTTTTCGAAATTCCGCCCCGCCCTCTTTCGACCCCACAAAGGACGAAAATCTGGGACACAATTTTGAAGATACGAGAAAACACTCTGCCTCGTGCTTTGTGGGCTCTTTGGGGGAGGTGTACGAAGAGGGATGTAGATGACTGTTGTAGCAAAAAAATGTTGTAGATAAAATGTTTAAAAATTCCATATAAATCATAAGCTCACATAAATATATATGTATATACTGACTTAGTAAAAGTGTAAAAATAGAGTCCCGGCCACTGCAGCGACTCGCAACGTTCCCCCTCATTTTGTTATAATGAAAATTTGGAGGAAAATATATGGATATGAAATATTTTAAGTTTATACATTTGTCTATAATGTATTTTTTTGGCGAATAGTTTTATTTTACATGTTATATCAATTTTAGTTGTGTGAATATAAATACATACACAATAACACATGCACAGTTTACGCACTATATCTATCTCCATTCCTCTTCCACGCTTTGACTGCGATGACATATAAAAGCAACAGCAAACAACTAACGTGATTCCACTTGGCTCAGTGATTCCACTAGGCTCAGTTTTGATCAGTGAGAGATGCTCAAAATTATCTCCCTCACACTGTTTACGTAGGGAAAACACTTGTTTCTCCCACCGCTCAGCACGAAACTGAAAACGCGAGAGTAACAAACACAAATTTGACCATATCTACCAGATTGCCGAATCTGAATCAAATCAGATCATAATTATAGCCAATGAAGAAATTAATTTTTAGTTGCTTCCCCAGTCTGCTTCAGCAAGAGACCCACTACTCATTCTCTTTCTCGCTCGCACACTCTGCCGCGTTATGTGCGCGAGCAACCCCTAGCGGAGGAGATGTAGAATATAAATGGTAAATGTAGAATCAACATGTTAGATGTAGAATATACATAGTAGATGTAGGGGGCGGGGCGAAATTTTGAAATACACTTGTAGTTTGGAAACCAAATTTGTTTGCCCAAGCTCTCATAGTCTCTGAGACGGGCAGACGGACAGATGGACATGGCTATATCGACTCGGCTATTGATGCTGATCAAGAATATATACACTTTATGGGGTCGGAAATGTTTCCTTCTCTGCGTTGCACACATCCACTTTTACCACAAATACAATATACCCATTAACTCTTTTTTGAGTACGAGTATAAAAATCGCCAGACCATCCTGCTGCCTCCTTTTTATTGGGCACTCATTTTTAAATCGTTCGCTGAGTTTCCGGGGATCCGGCCGAGCCAAATAGGTTTAGGTTTATCTTACTAATGTTACAAAAATTCTCCAATTGTTTACAGTCCAAATTTTGTTGATTTTGGTGAATAGGAGCATTTTCTGGATTATTTTTAATGCCTAAAGTGGTCATTTTGGTGGCTCACAACCGTTAAGTTATGTCTCCTGAAGACGCCGCCGTTTAGCTTTGGTGCTAATATCGATACCTACCGAATAAACTCCCTTCTAATATATTACGCTATTTTTTAACGATCCTCGACGCTCAAGCGTTTACGAATACGATCCTACTTTAAAGGTCCTTTTGGGTGGTCTTCCTCTTACTTCATGAGGTCGTTTTACCGAACAGAATTTTTCGAAATCCTTTAGAAAATTGTGTGTTGAGGACTTACTCATACTAAATTTGGTGCTAATAGCATCACAACTGAAATTATTTGGCCGCAAACACAAAATGGCTGCCTTCTCAGTTTCCGTTTTTTTCGACATTTATTACATTAATTTTTTGTTGAAAAATTTTGCTTTTTGAAATGAAAAAGTCAGCAAAGTCAGCACTGCTGATGAATTTATCTATGCAATAAAAATATTTCCCGACAGGCTTAGACTTTTTGAATTCGCGCCATCGGTTTAAAGTTAACTAATATGAGTGTCCACATTTCAATGTCTGCTACTGTAAATAAAATTTACGAATAAAGACAAAACATTAAACTAAATCATTCAAGTGTAGAGATAATTACTAGCAACATACTATCGCAATGAGGAGAAGCTTATTCAAAGAAGATAAGTTCTCCCCAACATACTTTTAATATACAATAAACAGATACATAAACTGATATATGTAAATAAGAAAATATACATATAATGTATATAATGTTAATGACGATATGAATGTTATCAATATTCAATAGATTTCACCAATTATCCAACTCATTCAGCAAAAAATTGTTTTGGAATTTTCTTGATTACAATTTTTTGTAAAATTCGGTAGCAACCTCTAAAAAATTAGAAAGAAAAAATATAAAAACATGTAAATTTCTACATACACTACTGGTCAAAATAATAAGTACAGAGGCATCGTGATGATTTTTTATGAAATATCTCGAATGTTTTTAAATTTATGACTGCCAATTGTTTATATTTTTAAAGATTACAGTTTTGCCAAACATTTAAATCAAAAATGAAAGTTGTGAGCACCCTTAATTTAATTCTAGGCTTTAAATTTGAGCTGGCTGTGCATTTTTAGTGTGGTCAAAATAATAAGTACACTGGAGGTATTTATGAATTTTTAAGGATTTTATTGGGATTTGGTCAAAGGATTGTTCGTTTTTATTGACTCCTTGCATATTAAGGTACAATGAGCGTTAAAAAAATTTCCCTATATGGGCCGAAAAAGCATTGTTCTGCTGAAGAAATTAAGATTGTCTTGAATCTTAAAAAATAAGGGAAAAGTCTTCGGGAAACTGCGAAAAGTCTTTGACGCTCGCTATATTTGGATCAGAATGCCTTAAATTTAAGATTTCTTACTGAAAATCGAAGAAGGAAGAAGAAATCTTCACAAACAACGGACACCCGCATCGCCAGTCTTGCAAAAAATTATGCGTTCATGTCTTACAAAGCCATTTCCACTCAAATTGGCAATGAAATATCATCTCAGACCGTTCCTCGTAGGCGTCAATATTCAGACTTATCAGAACGTATAGCCCGACAAGGTTCCTTACTCCGAGAAAAAAATTTGGAGATGAGACAAAAATTTGGCGAAACAAATTTTGCATGCACTGAGCCAGATGGGTCTAAAAAATGAAATAATATATTATAGAGCGACAAAACAAAACCAAATATTTTTGGTAATGACTACAGGTGATATGTACGACGCCCCAAAGGCAAATAATTCGAGGCCCAGGAAAAAAAAAATGTTTAACCACCGTGGCGGTTGCCTTATGGTCTGGGGCTTTTTTTTATTTTTTTTTGCATGGCGTTGAGCCGATACATCGTAAAACTGATCCTATGACCAATTTCAGGTATAAAAACATATTGAATAACATTTTGCAACCATATGCTAAGGAAGATATGTCCTTGAGGTGGGTCTCTCAGTCGTTGTCCTGGACTCACAACACACCGCAAGGCTGATCAAGGCTTGGTTTACGGAGGGGAAGGTAAACGTTTTGAATTGGCCAAGTCAATCTCCTGACTAAAACCCAATATACAACCTATGGGGAGACTTAAAACGTCGCGTTTGCACAAATACATTTCGAAACTCCGAAGAATTGTGGGAATTTGTCCCAAAAACTTGGTATGAGATTCCAGTAGAGTCCTGGCGCAAAATTATTGCTGGTATGCCAAAAATAATCGTCAAAGCTAAAGAAAATAAGGGTGGCTATATCGGATACTATCGTAGAATTACTATTAATAAGAAAAAATTTTGATATGCTTTGAGTTTTTGGCTTTGTAGAATTGCTGTACTTATTATTTTGACCGCTATTCTACTATAGGTTAGTAATCTAAAAGTTAAGTGGATTTTTTCTTTGTTTTTCTTTTAAGTTTTACGACACGTGAAAGAAAGCTCATGAGTGTGTACTTATTATTTTGACCAGTAGTGTATGTATATCACATTTGACCTCACATTTGAAAATTATCCATTATGGTATTCAAGGTGCGACGTGTTATCAAGGTTATTTTGATCTTTGCATTCGCTCGGAAGTCGAAAACTGGACAAATGATTTAAAAATTGACACATGTATGACATGCCGCTACGACAGCCGAACAATTGTGCACAGGCCCGCTGCGGCAGCCGTTCCGAGCCACACGATGCTTTTACGCTGTACGTGTGCCTACGCACAGTTCATACGACGCTGCCGGCCTCTGCTCTAAGCACAGTGCTTCCAATGAACATTCACGATGGCTTCTAATGACACCCCCTTCCAATTGTCACACGATTCTAGGAAAAGCATAGAAAATTGTAAGGGCCGTCGACAAGGAGAAAATTAATGGACTCAGCGACAAGGCGTTAAGCGTAAGTTTGAAGTTTTCGACGGACTTGATAGCTGTGTTCAACGAATGTCACAACGCCTTGGAAAAGATAGATCTTGTTGAGATCGGAAAAATAGTCATGGACTAGTTTGTCGAGTGCGGGCGATTTTGAAGCTATGATAAGGCGGGAAATCAACAAGCGGCAGTCCACAATGGTACTACTGTCGTAGTTCAGAGTCTGCCCCGCCTGCATAAGTTAAAGATTCCCGACTTCAGTGACTGTATGACACACAGTATGGCGCATTCTGAGACATGTTTTCATCCATTAAAGATAAGGATCCTGACCTTAAGAATGTTGAAAGGACCAGCGTTAGACACGATCTCGTCTTTGGAATTTAGTCACGCCAGCTATCCCATCGCACTGGATCTACTCAGCAAACGATTTAATAACAAGCGTCACATATTACAGACACCGGTCACAGACATTGTGGGTTTGCTGTGTATCTAGGCATTTGCTTCCCAACTACTGTCCATTTCAGATAAAGAAGATGACAATCTGCAAGTTTTACAGAGTCTGGGGGCAAAGGAGCAGATTGCTGACTGCATCTTAATACACAGCTGCTGCAGAAGGTAGACAGTGCCACACAAGCTACATACGTGGGAGGAATGCTCGCCGTGGAATAGCATACCCTCCAGCCAAACAATTCGCCACGTTTCTGAAGAAGATATGCCAGAGGTTTGAAACCCAAGAGCATGCGAAGGATATGTACACCCATAGCAGTCGGAAACACTGTCTAATCGCAACCAGCTCCAAGGTGTGTACATTCTGCGGCGATCCAAAACACACCATTTATGCGTGTTCGCAATTCGGGAATCTGTCTGCTCAACTTCGGCTTCAGGAAACTAAGTAGCTGTCACTGTGAACCAACTCTCTCCGAGCAGGCCATACGCAGGGTGCATGTCATTCTCGATCCTGCCGAATATGTGGTACCAGACATTACACTCTACTTCATTTCGAGTCTCCGTCTTACGGTCCTCAATCTCTTGTGCCTCCACTGTAACATTCAATATCGGATTCCCAATTGCGTGCGAGACCCTCTGGCGTTGAACATACTGCAGCATCGCCAGCCACATCGCTTTTGGCAGAGTGACAGGCGTCACATCGTACTTCTTGCAACTGTCAACACAGCGTGAGGAATCGCTCTGGTACAATGATTCCATGCCGTGCCCTGCTTGATTCTGGATCGCAGGTGAATCTCATTACTTATCACCTAGCTCAGCAGTTGGAGCTACAAAAGAAAGAGTCGGATGTTTCTAGTGTCTGGTCTCGGCGATTCGCGTGCCATATCCAAAGGATGCGGCGCGGATATCCAACTGAAATTACACACGTCAATTTATGCCAAGACCATTTCGGCATTAGTTTCTCTTACCATTACGGGAAATCCACCTAACTGCAATGTCGACATAAACCGCTGGAACGTTCCGCCCAACACACAAATTTTCTATATTCTAAATATATTGAAATACACTTGTGACAAATTTGCCTATCTTATAGAACTGTACATCCATTTACAGTGTTTTATAAATATGTATGTTCATATTAATTACACTTTGAACAATTCAATGAAAGTAAGTTTTCAAATTAATTTTCTTTATCAGAACTGATTTTTCACCTATGTATATATACTTGAAAATATTTCATTTTCTGTTGTTACAGTTCGAAAATTAAATAGATGTATACACTTTAAAATGCCAGCATGTGAACCGTGATGTCATTTATATTGCAATATTATATATAATAAACATCTTGAGAGATTGTTATGAAATAATTTATAACAGTATATACATAAAATGTTCTTAAGTCAGTCTTAATACCTTTTTAGCATTATGCAACGAGTGTGTATAATAATAACTGATATTAACAATCCCCTGAAAAGAGCTTTTTAATAAAGATAATTTCACTAAACACTGCCAATAAATTAAATTTCACCAACATGCATTCGCTTGAAAATTGATTCTAAGGATGTGAAAAAATCGATTTCCTTTATTTCTTGTTTTTGTTTGTATGGTTCGGGCAGTGTGACCGCATATCGGAGCTATCGCTAAACTATATCCGCAAGTATTTTCAACGTTACACCCTGTGCACACTGAGCCCATCCTGGGGGAACGGTGGGAATTTCTTAAATGTCTCAAACACCGATTCACACTGGCACCACCCACCATCCATGCAAAACAGCTGATGCTCACGTGCGGTGAAAACGTTTATGATTTAATTGAATATAAATAATATTGCAATGGTTGTGAATGTGAAAACATATTCTTGCACAAACTAATCATGCTTCATGTGGATATGGACGATGATGATGAGGACAACTTTGAGACGGAGGAGATATTAGAATAGATATCTGTTTTGAACACACTGAGGCCACGCAGGTTGTGGTCCTTTGTGCGTGCTTCTACTAAATACAACCAAAGTTTTAAGTACAAATATATATGTTATGTTTTTCAGAACCGGTCCGGTTCATTTTGGGAGAAGGATGTACCCGAAAACAACGAGTCGTTCGAGGTCCTGCTTTTCTGTGTTGGTTTCTCGTTTGGAAGTGCTACGGAAGAAGGACACAAACTGCCGAGCCGCAATTCCTCTGGAAAAGCAGAGCTTTTGTGCTCTTCTACTGAGTACCGAACAGTCAGAAGGCTTTTCGGCGTGTCAGCCAACAGTGTCTGCAATATACTGCATGAGTTTTGCAAAACATTGATTAAATAATTCTCAGAGGAATACATGTCTTCAAACAATCTCACTTCAGAGAAAATTGAAGTGTGAGTCGAAGGATTTGGAGAAATTGGGTTTCCTCAGTGCCTAGGTGCAATTGGTAATAATGCAAACCAATCATCCATATTCAGGGGAGCCACAGAAATCACTAGTGAAATGGGAAACCGCGCAGAGGATTTCCGCTTCAAAATTTCCGCCGTGCCACAGAATTCCGAGCGATTTTATTTTTCTTAGCATGGTCACAAACCCAATTCGAGCTAAGGCTTGGGTTGACACCTCTCAAGATTCAATTCAAATAGGGTTCATTTTTCAGTTTTATTGATTTTATCATATGAAAACAATTGGTTTTTCTTTTATGATATAAAAGAATTGATTTTTTAATGCTGTACTTTTATAATTTCAAAACAAAAAAAACACCCCATATCGTGCGAGTCAAACAAAACAATGTACTCGGCAACTCTAGCAGTTGTCTGGCAACTCTGCATGCATGGCAGCAATCAGCTGTTCAAAAAAAACACACACCTGAATTTTACGGAAAACTAAATTAAAATGCTTTTACCGAGACTGTTGGCCATCGAAAAACTACGGAAGAACTACATATTAGAATACAAACCTTGCAGCGCAGGCTTATCAGATGCGCATCGGACTCGTTTTCACGTTCAAACGATACGTATGTGGTTTTTGTGATTGTCTTCTCAAACTACTACTAATTTAGTTCATTACAATTACCAGTTTTTGGTATAATGATCGCTATGCTTCTATTTGTGCTGCCATGGGTCTGCGCTTAGCCGAACAGGGGTTTTTGACATAAATGCAATGGCAATAATGTGTAGAAATGTTGTTAGTTTTATTTTGGCATTTTGAAGTGATGCCACCTGGTAGAACTACAAATGACTACAAATTTTTTCACAATTTGCACAAAAAGTATGCACGCGTTTGACGTAAAGGAAGTTTTGCTACAATGTGCTATTTTTTGTGATGCTTAATTAAAGAAAAACAGATTGCTTTCAATATAATTAATATTAAATATATTGCTCCGAATTCAACTTAAAAAAAAGTGGCATGACTGTATTAACTTCGAAGGTCCGAATCGCCCTAGGTGGCCACCTCGCTCTGCAGCGGATTTAGAGCGGAATCGTTAAGTGAAAATTCAGTCAGCGGATTGAATAGTGATTTACTAAAATGCTTATTTTATTAACTCAACATGTGTAATGTTAAATTATTTGGATGAGGGTTAACCACCAATTGAACAACCTTTATGGGAAAGTAAGATTCGAATCGTTTTAGGTGTGTTTTATGGGTGTATTTAATCAAATCGCTGGATAAATTGTGAGCGATTTTGATTCCGCTGAAAAATCGGTTTGTGGCACGGCGGAATGGAATTCAGGAGATTTTCCAGCGGAAGTGATTTCTGTGGCACCCCTGATTATATGTATAAGTAATGTTTAAATGCATTCACTGGTATTATAAACTGTTCTTTATTTAACGTTGCAAGGCGAGACGTTGCATGTCTCGCCACTCGGCTAACTATTATAAACCAAACTTAAAACTGTAAACTCTTCAACCTCGAACCCTTAGCTGCCGGCCAAAGTGCTGACCTTGCGCCTCGTGCTGGATGCGGCCGCCATCCGGCGATCGCGACGACGGCGATCCCACGGGTGACGAAACTGCTTATTTTGCAATATTGCAGAATTCGTCCCACCCAGTGGACAATTCAGTTAACTCTTGTTAACTACTCCCTCCTTCAAGACTTGACCGTCCTCGGTCAAGCCCATGCTCTTCAGCATCTGCCCGATAGCGACAGTGTTACCCTTCTGTTGCCTGCGCCGCATCCACCAGGAAACGCCGATTAGTGTAGCGCACACGGCCACGCCCACGACAGCGGCCAGTACGGGACCGATAGTAAGGTTTGTTCGGACTTCGGTCAGGTGTTGCAAATTCTCCTCATTCAGCTTGTGAAGATACGGCAGGCTCAACAGCGTTTGGTGGCGGTATTAATCCTCGCCGAGGTAGCTACGCCAGGTACTCTCTTTGGTGCATTGTTGAAGTTGGTGTATTTAGTCCCGTTGACGTGAGCGACTTGGTCAAAGGTTACCAAGTACGTTCCCGTAACTTTTCGCTCGGGGCCGTCGTCTGTGGTCACAATGGCGGTGGCATCGTTGATTACCACCCTCATCTATCTCCAAGATCGGGGGCAGGTTATTCGGTTGGGTGTCGCAGTGGGCCACAGCTCCAAAATGCAATTCTTGGGCGCAGCTATTCGCCGGTGCCTCCTTACAGAAGGCTAATGACGGGGGTCCCATGCATGATGAGACAGCGATGGTCTTGCTGCCGCACTCTGCTATAATGTCCTCGGGTAGCCGGATCGTTACCCCCTTGTGTGCGACTGGGAAGATGGTTAATTTCTTACAAATGAGCTTAGGTCTAGGCATTTTAATTACAAAGATGATCAATTCCTTATTAGCCAGAGCCCTCACATTTGCAGCGCCCAAAAGTTGGGCTACACTGATATCGGTGGAACCTTTCTTCAAAATCGCCTCTAAGTCATTGCTATCGATGATAGCTGGATTTACGATGTTTATTTTAGCCAGAGTAGTGGCGATCATTAGGTTCTGCAATTCGAGCGTCAGCATTCTGTTTCTAGTTAAGAGTGTTTCATATAGATGGGAAGTGTTAATTTCTTCCTTCTTGTTTACTTTTAATAATTGGTTAACAGTTTCGGTGAGGGCATTTATCTGTGCTTGAGTCCTTGAATTTATGGTTATCTGTCTATTGTTTGCGTTTATTAAATCATACTCAACCTGCCTTGTTTGTTGCCAGTCATCGAAGTCCGGAGTCCCTGCGATTATCTTTAGTTCTGACCCCAGGACATTCAAACTCCTCGCATGCCTGTGATGAACTCCTAAAGCCGCAGTCAACGTCAGTAGGTGTTTCGTGTCTGTTTCTAATATTTTCCTCATATGTGTCTGTGGGAAAACGTCAGTCATTTCTATTGTCTCTTGAATGTATCTGTCATACTCTGTCAAGTTCGTGGAGTGTTGTATGTAGAAGGTCTCGTTCCATATTACTGTCCGTCCGTCAATTATGGGAATGTAGTCCGCGTGCGTGTAGTCCGTCAGCTTTGAGTCGGTCATGGCTGTCAAGGTCAAGATTGTTAGAAGGCAGCAATATTCAACGGGTGACCTATAAGAAATGAGAAACACAACGGCTTATTAACTATACTTTCTTTAGTCCTACTATAACTTGTCCCAGTGGACTTGAACTTAGTGCCATGAATCTTGGTTTCCTAGACCTAATTCCTTACCTACCTCAAATTGTCTTTGTGGACCACCCTCCCTTTAATAAGAACGGTGGTTCCCAGGTCTGCTTTCACCTTTTGTTCAGTGCAGAAGGGAGTTAGTTTGTTCCCTAACCTCCTATTGGTTTTCACTAGGACCTGCTCGCCTACCTCAAAGGTCCTATTTTTCCTGGTCGGGTTGTTCCTATCTAGCTGTTCTTGTTGGGCTTTTACTAACTTCAACATAATTTCTTCCCCAAGGTCGCAACTTGCGTGGAACACATCCATAGGTGTCTTGTCTGTGACAGAATGGATGGTTCGATTATATTCGATAGTCGCTAGAATAACTAGTTCAACCGTATCGTCCACTTGGCGTTGCAATTTTAAGCACCTGGCTATTTCTAAGAGGGTGCTGTGGAAGCGTTCCACCTGTCCGTTTGATGTGCTGTGCAAAGGTGGGGCATTCGCTAAATCAATGTCGAACTGGTTCTTTAATAAAGACCGAATGGTCTCCGAGTTGAAAGCTGCCTCATTGTCACAGTAGATGGTCCTAATAGCTGGGAAGATGTTTACCAATTGTAAAATTGGTATTTTCACGTCCGTGATCGTGCGTGAAGCAACCTGCTGCGTTATTGCAAACTTTGAGAATTTGTCAATCGCGGTAAGGAAGTACTTCCCTGCGGTGGAAAAGATGTCGATATGAATCAACTCGCCTACTCTTGCCGGAATTGGAGTCACCCCTAACTCTTGCTTCCTAGGGTGCCGGTTATACTTGGCTTTCTGGCATATCCTGCAGTTTATCACCACTTCTGCTGCGATTTTCTCCATTTTCGGGAAGTAATAATCTCGCAGTACCTGCTTCACATTCTCCTGGGCTGCCCTGTGCGCCCGATTGTGCTCGGCTGTCATTATATCTCTTCGCTCCCCGTCGTTGGTGATGTCTGTCACCAAGGTTTTGCAAA